CCATTACGAAATGCGATATGGAAAATGCCTGATCTTCCTTGACATTCACATCTGCCCTGTGATTTAAGGGCGCTCGTGGCAAGAAGGTGTAGAGGGTAATGTGTCGAGATTGTACACTGCATTGCCATAATGGATCACCTATTCTAAATTCTCATAACGGCCGTTTCATTTCCACTTGCCTATGCCTAGTGTAGGCGTCCTATTTTGAGTGTATTTAGTGAGACCTATTAACACTGCTGTTTCCAACATCAAGACCAAATCTATAATTTAGTCCGCAATTGTTACATAATGAGTAAAGTTAACAATTGCTATAGCAAATCCAACTTTCCTTCAACGACACCCCCATTACGAAATGCGATATGGAAAATGCCTGATCTTCCTTGACATTCACATCTGCCCTGTGATTTAAGGGGGCTCGTGGCAAGCAGGTGTAGAGGGTAGCGTGTCGAGATTGTACACCGCATTGCCATAATGGATCACCTATCCTAAATTCTCATAACGGCCGTTTCATTTTCACTTGCCTATGCCTAGTGTAGGCGTGCTAGTTTGAGTGCATTTAGTGAGACCTATTAAGACTGCTGTTTCCCACATCAAGCCCAAATTTATAATTTAGTCCGCAATACCCTTGTTCCAGGTCTTATCAGAATCTCCGTCTTGATCTGTTATTTGTCTCCCTGTGTAAAACTTTGCCTCAAAGCTTTGGTAGCACGTATAAGTCGGCTTCAGTGAGGGAGCGCCAAAAGTCTGGATTCTCAAATAACATGCGAGGCCTAAGCTAACGCAGCAAATTCCCTCATCAGTGTTCGACACGTGCAACGAGCAAATCTGATGGCCAAACGTAAGAGCTCAATGATCAAACTCATATAATAATTTTATTTCGTTTATAAGTAGGGTGTCAAGACTACCAATAAATTAGTTATGATCGTCAGCTCTATTCATATAATTCTGGGAAAATTCAACTACCTGTCATTTTTCATCTTAAACGAAATATGGTGGATACATCACATATATATGACGTATAGTAATCTCAAAAAATTACTTATAAACGAAAAAAATATGCAAATTTATCGCCAATCCAGAATTAATCAGGTCTACTGTGCATTAGATTTCTTTGAGTCAGTATATTGATAACTCTCGGATCTTGCACTTTCTCGTATGTAGCCAGCCTTTCTGTCGATTTCCAGTAGAGTTCGTATCCCGTCCGTGCAATGTGCTCTGCTATTTCGGATCTTTCCGTATCCATATTTTTAAAAAGTCTTTGATGTTCCTTGATTCGCAGACCAATTTTTCTACCTGTTTCATCAATATACTTCTGCTCACAGTTACCGCTTTTGATGCGATAAACTATCGAGCAATCCAGTCCGTCCTTTGTTATCACCCTGATATTCCATTGTATTAGTAAAGGTGGCAATTTTTTGCTCAGTTCACATGACGGCAGAAATATCCACATTTGGTCGTCCTCTCTGTTCCTGATCTTTATTTCATAGAATACGAATTGAAATCTGCTCTTTATGACACCTACGTTTCTTTCTATGCATTCTCAGGGGTACGCATTACTAAGGCTCTGCCTCCAGAATATCTTCTCCTTGTTCCAATATCTCATTCTTGCCTGAGATATTTGTGTACATGGATTGTATGTAAAAACTTACCAATGTTTTGCATCCTTTGAAAAAATCCAAATCTATTCTTGGTGCTCGAGAGTCCATAATTTACTTTCTTGAGCTTAAATTAAAGCAAAGGAATTTCGCAAGTTTTCTGTTGCTTCATATATGTTGTTAACTCTTAATCTTAGAAATTTTCCTTCCTTGTATATCTTTGCTAATCCGTAGGCTGTAGATGGTCTTGCGTTATTTTTAATTAGTGTTCCAGTATGAGTGTTAAGTATCATACGTACTGTCGACTCCAGACAAGGTTGGTTCCTCTAGGCCTTCCTGGCGATATGAGCAAGCTGCAAAAACAAGATCAAATAACTCGTATACGTCCTTAAATCATTGTTAGGGAGCTAGGGTGGCCAAGCTTTTACTCTGGAATTACTGAATCCTGCAAACTACTTACATGGAAAATAAGTAACGATGCCGAATGTAATGAAAACCACACGTTTGCTTAATAGACAAACAGAAAACAGATAAATTAGAATAACAAGGTGGGTTAATATTTCGCAAGGTAAGCTTGCCCTAACAAATAACATAAAATTAGAATTTAAAATTAAAAAATGATTCCGCGGTAAAACAGACCGTTTGATTAAAATTGATCATGCAGCAATTTGATTTGATCCACTGTCTCTATGAAGCAGCAAGATTTGTTAAACGGAAAAAAGGATCAGATCATCAGCACCTCAGTATCATGGCTGTGCTGTAGTATGGAACAGAGCCGATCCGAATAAGTAAAAAAAAGTAGGAACCCAAAAAATAAATATTCAGACGATAGCTTGAATCCATAAATCATATCTGTTGTGCAAACATCTCTTTGGATAATTCCCTCAGGCAAATAACCAAACCAAAAAAATGCATACAAAATAAGTACCGATAAGAGTTTTGAGAAAGTGAGACTTAATTACGACCAGTAAAATAAAACTATGTCCGTATGAGATGCTTGCCCTTAGTTAAATTAGAAAAAAAAGTCTAACCTTTAGCAGCCGGCATTGAAAGACGGCAAGCCATTAGGATACGAGTCGAAAGGTCTGCCACAGAGTCACCATTAACAACGCATACACTGGAACATCCAGAACTCTTAGTTCCGTCGGTACGATCGGTCAGGCTAAAGAAACCCGAGCAAGCATCGGGGTTGATTAGGCGAAGCCAGGCAATAGCGGGGATAGTTTCTGTTGTGATAACAGGAGAAAGCGGAGATACGGTATCACGTACGAGCTCGTCGGGCGACTCAGATGCTGATAAAATCTGGCGGAAAGGTAATAATTGATGAAACATTATGTCGACCAAGATAAACACTGCAATTTAGCAACCTGATGTTCTGCATCTACTCTAAGAGAATCAGAATCGCAAGCGATCATATGAGTCTGCACATTTGGCTAGTGTGCAACTAACAGTGTTATTTCTATTCAAGTTGAAGTATTTAATCCTAAAAATAATAACATATTGCAACCCAGGGATCACATCGCTGCTTATTTGTCTAATTTAATTCTGATAAAATGACGATCGAAAACCGAGGTAACTTTTTCCTC